TATCACCTGATCTTGAGAAACCTTTCTAAGATCTATTGTAGGAATCTGATCTCGGCAACCTCAATAATTTACCAAGGGATAAAAATCTCTGTTAGTCTATGACTTATTTTTTCTCTTGTATCTTGTATCCTTTGGGATGTTTATCAGATTACTATATTCCTTATCTTCAGGATGATGAAGGTGATAATGCTTTCCACATAGCAGCTGATGCAGCTAAGATGATTCGTGAAAACCTCGAATGGATTATTCATATGCTAAAGTGTCCAGATGCTGCCGTTGATCTGAGGAACCACAGGCAAGTGTTAAATGCTTTGAATCTCATCACTTTGATTTTGTTCTCTTGCTATTTTATGTTTCTTTTCTTATCCAGTGCTGTATGATGCTTATTGCCAATAGTTAAAGATTGATATAACCAGATGTTCTTTACCTTGTCAATTCATAGATTAGTATATAGTCTGGTTAAAGTTGAACTAATCAAGAATATGTGTTATGAGTATTACTTATGCGGTATTGCATGTTTTCTGACGGATAACAGTGGTAAGACTTTAAAAGACTTTTTAGAGGCCCTTCCTCGAGAATGGATTTCTGAAGACCTGATGGAGGCACTTTTGGATAAGGGGGTTCAACTGTCTCCTACAATGTAAGCATTGTAAATTCCAAGAGCACAATTTGGACCATCTTTTTCTTTCCTTCTAATTGTTAAATCTATTTGTTAATTGTTTCATGTAGTTATTTAGCTGGTGATTGGGTGAAATTTAGAAGAAGCGTCACTGCTCCGAAGTATGGTTGGCAAGGTGCAACACAGATGAGTGTTGGTTTTGTACAGAGTATTCCTGACAAGGATCACTTGATAATATCATTTTGTACCGGAGAGGCTCGTGTTTTGGTGAATGAAGTTATAAAAGTAATTCCATTAGACAGGGGACAGCATGTGAAACTTAAACAAGATATCAAGGAACCAAGGTTAGTGATAGTGGTATTATTTCTGTTAGATTTTTCTTACATTATACATGGGTGCAAATATTTTCAAGAATTTTGCTCATTGATTACCTTATAATGCTCATTCTTTGACTCTAATTTTCAATACAAGTGTAATTTATGTTTTAGGTTTGGTTGGCGGGGCCACTCACGTGACAGCATAGGAACTGTACTTTGTGTTGATGATGATGGGATATTGCGGGTTGGATTTCCGGGGGCCTCCAGAGGATGGAAGGCTGATCCTGCAGAGATGGAAAGAGTAGAAGAATACAAGGTTGGGGACTGGGTTCGTATACGCCCATCTCTTACCACAGCCAAACATGGCTTGGGTGCTGTAACACCGGGCAGTATTGGTATAGTATATTGTATTAGACCTGATAGTAGTTTGTTGCTGGAATTAAGTTACCTTCCAAATCCGTGGCATTGTGAGCCAGAAGAGGTTGAGCATGTCGAACCTTTCAGGGTAAGTAGAATCTTTCTTAGCAATTGGTTTTTGTTATCTTTTGCTTTTTCTTGTTTCAATTGTTTATTAATCTGTTTTGTATTTCCTTAGATTGGTGACCGGGTATGTGTAAAACGTTCAGTTGCCGAACCAAGATATGCTTGGGGGGTGAAACTCATCATAGTGTGGGAAGAATAAGTGAGATAGAGAGTGATGGCCTCTTAATTATTGAAATTCCCAACCGGCCAATACCTTGGCAAGCTGATCCTGCTGACATGGAAAAAGTGGAGGATTATAAGGTAACTTCTTTTCAATTTGTGATGATAAGTACTTGTCAGCTATCTACCAGCGTTTCAGTCCTTACTGCATAATTGCAGGTACGAGATTGGGTTAGAGTTAAAGCTTCAGTCTCATCTCCCAAATACGGATGGGAAGATGTCAACAGAAATAGCATTGGAGTTATCCATAGCCTAGAGGAAGATGGTGACATGGGTGTTGCCTTTTGCTTTCGAAGCAAGCTCTTTTCTTGTTCTGTGACCGATATGGAGAAGGTGGCTCCTTTTGAAGTTGGCCAAGAGATTCATGTGATGCAATCTATTTCTGTTCCTCGGCTTGGATGGTCTAATGAATCTCCAGCTACTGTTGGGAAAATTGTGCGAATTGACATGGATGGAACATTAAATGTAAGAATATTTCTCCATCCCTTTTAACTTATTTTTGTCGACCACAATTGTTTGTGTATAAATTAGGAGTTTTATACACCCTTTGAAGTAAACAGCTTTTCACATGGACTTGATTCACTTTTATTTAAAATTTGTGATTTTGGTTTTAGCTTTTAAAGTAGACTATGATCTGAAAGCATGCATGCCCCATTCATATTAAAACGGATGGTGCTGGAGAGGAGGTTGTACTTTCAGGATTTACTTGAATTGGATATATATCATTTTGTTGGCAGTGTGCCAATGGCAATACTTGCTGATGGTAAAGTAGCTCATTGAGTGTTTAGAGTTTTGATCAGTAAAACAATTCATGCTTACTATCTTTTCGGGTAAATAGAACAGGACCTATGCTGCTCCTTTCATTGGCAATTTGCCTTAACCATTTCCAGTTTCTTAGCCCTTCCACTGCCATGCTTAATTATTTGATGACAAATCTTGCTGGCAATGAGTTGAATTGCAGCAATTAGAAAACAATTAAACAAAAGCTTGTGATATTGTTACTCAAGAAAATCCAATTACTTGTAAAAATGAATTCCCCTTTGGCCAAAAAAAGAATAAAGAATATTAGAAGCTTTTATTGGAATTTGGCAGAATCTACAGCAATATGTCATTCAGCACACCCAATACTGTTGTTGCTGTGATGCTACTCTCTGTACCAAAGCTAGTGTTAATGTTATGTAGGGCCAAAATTTCCAAATTTTCTTCCAACTTGATAAATATTCAATTAAAAGTTATAATAGTTAACGGAAAGATGCATTCTGTTTTACATAATTTTTTTTTTTCAGTTTCTTTGACAGTCGTAATACGTTTTGCTTTTATGCTTCCTTAACATGTATGTATTCAGCATATTATTATTGAGTGAGCATGATACAGTGCTAATTGATTATTAAGTACGGTTCGGTTCAAATGGTTTAACTGCCTGCATTTTTTCCTGGCCTTATTAATCCTGTACACGTAGGAGCTCAAGTATTTGTATCAATGCAGGTGAAGGTAGCTGGCAGATCCAGCCTCTGGAGAGTTTCTCCTGGAGATGCTGCCTGTCTGTCAGGTTTTGAAGTCGGTGATTGGGTGAGATCAAAACCCATCTTGGGAGCTAGGCCAAGTTATGACTGGAGCAGTATAGGAAAGGAAGGTGTAGCAGTTGTTCATAGTGTACAAGATAATGGTTATTTAGAGCTGGCTTGTTGCTTCCGTAAAGGAAAGTGGCATGCTCATGACACAGACATGGAGAAGATCCCAAGTCTCAAGGTTGGCCAGTATGTAAAATTCCGTGCTGAACTAACAGAGCCAAGATGGGGCTGGAGAGGAGCCAATTCAAAATCCCGAGGCATTATTACCAGTGTTCATGCTGATGGAGAAGTAAGGGTAGCATTTTTTGGCTTGCCAGGGCTCTGGAGAGCAGATCCTGCTGACTTGGAGATTGAGGCAGTGTTTGATGTCGGTGAGTGGGTGAGATTGAAGGATGGTGCTGGAAATTGGAAATCTATTGGCCCGGGCAGTATAGGGGTTGTACAGGGACTAGGATATGAGGGTGATGAATGGGATGGAACTGTTTCTGTTGGTTTCTGTGGAGAGCAAGAAAAATGGGTGGGACTCATCTCTCATCTTGAGAAGGTTAATAAGCTAATGCTTGGACAAAAAGTACGAGTAAAATTCTCAATCAAGCAGCCAAGGTTTGGCTGGTCAGGTCACAGTCATGCTAGTGTCGGGACAATAACATCAATTGATGCAGACGGCAAGCTAAGAATTTATACACCTGCTGGTTCAAAGGCTTGGATGCTGGACCCATCTGAAGTTGAGGTGGTCGAGGAGGAGGAGATCCATATCGGAGACTGGGTTAAGGTTAAGGAATCGGTGACAAACCCAACACACCAATGGGGAGAGGTGACTCCTTCCAGCATTGGTGTCGTACACCGCATGGATGAAGGACAGCTTTGGGTTGCATTCTGCTTCTTGGAAAGGCTTTGGATTTGCAAGGCTTCAGAAATGGAAAAAATTCGGCAGTTCAGGGTTAGGGACAAAGTGAAGATTAGAGAAGGGCTGGTGGCCCCGCGCTGGGGATGGGGGATGGAAACTCATGCGAGCAAGGGAGAAGTTGTGGGGGTTGATGCTAATGGGAAGTTGAGGATAAAGTTTAGATGGAGAGAAGGAAAACCATGGATTGGAGATCCTGCTGATATAGTTCTTGATGAAACCTAGAAAAGTGTGGAGAAGGTAGCAATAGAATTCATGTCACCGGCAACTAATGGGAAGTTTGGCCTCTCAATTTTTTCGGAGAGGTTCAAATGTATCCTGCTATTGCCGTGCATCATCCAGTATATGCTCATTAGCATGTCATCATTATATGGATGATGCATCATTGGCGGAAGTTATTGTTAAATAAAGAGGGAATGGTTGATGAGCAAGCAAAGGCATGGGCAGTTGGCTTATTTTACTGTTGTTTACTGGTAAATACACGAGGCAAAGGGAAGTAGCAGTATACCATTTGTATTGCATTATTTTATGTCAATAGTCCCTTTGAGCTTCAGGGTAAATATATATATAGAATTGGTATGGAAATTTTGTACAAATTAGTTGCCATGATCGAGTTATTGGCCTTCTCTTGTGTTGGTGTTTTATTTTGATAGTTTTTATCATTTGTGGTTCTTGTACAACACTGTATGTTCTCCAGCCTTAACAGATCCAGTTATCGGAAAGATAATGTGGGGATGACAGCAATAAGTTTATTCCCCTCTTTTTTCTTTTTTCTTTTTCCCTATTTGCAACAATTATTTTACTTATAATTCGAGAGAGTAGGGGGAATTGGGTGGATGGGATGCCTGTATAGTGTATATGCATACCTTAGAGCTAGGGTTTACAGTATCGGAAACTGTTGTGAATGAAATGGGATTAAGGATTGGTAAAAATGTAAGATCAGGTAACATGGAAGAGAATCAGTAATTTAGCTTCTTAGAAGACTTGATAAATTAATACGAAGAGAATCAGTAAAAATGTAAGATCAGGTAACATGGAAGAGAATCAGTAATGTAAGATCAGGTAACATGTAAGACTTGAGGCAAATAAAACAAGTCAAGGAGGTGATTTGGTATTTAAAAAAAAAAAAAAAAAAAAAAAACTCATTGAGACGAATAAAATTAGATCTTATGTGACTATGTATGTTCTTATATAGAGAAATTTAGAAAATTCCCTCTAATTTTAATAGTCAGAAGATTATAAATGGAACTAACATTATGAAACGGAAGGAGTATTATACTACGAAGTAGTTACGTATGGTAAAATGTTATACATAGTATTACATTTTAACTACATTACATTGGCTTATCAATATCTGAGCATAGATATTCAAACTTTCAAAGTGTTACTTCTAGCATTAATTCTGAAATATTGGTGATTCATGTATATAATGAATATGAGCTCAAACTACGATCATTAATGTGCAAGATTCAGTATTGGTAATGGCCATCAAATTAACGGCGACAAATAACCAACAGTACTAAGCAAATATTGCCTTGGAATCATCCTCTACTATTATTTCCCACAATGTTTTTTGAAGCCTTAATTATGAATCCGAACCATCTCTTTCCCTATCTCCATCTGCAAACTTGTCCCCATGCCATTTGAGGAAGCCATCAACAAGAGCAACTCTCATCCATGCATGACGGCAGCTCTGAGCTGCTTCAGGAACAGTAAGCCAGAATCTATTTCGCATGCTTTGCTCAGGCCACGATCCAAGTTCTTCCTTGACTAGCATAGCAAACATAGCTGCTTTACACAATCCTTCTGGGCAGAATTCATCTTGATGAGTTTTGCTTTTGAATTTGTAGTACCCAAGAAGATCCTGAAAAGAAGGAAATAAAGCATGATTGAACTAAAGTTCCAACCAGTTGAAGATCCCGGGGGCTGGGGGTGGTCGTGGAAAAGAACAAGATATTATTAGAAAATTAACAATATCCCCATTAATGCGAAAACCAGAATAGTGTTCAATAACTTAAATCTCCATACAAAAAGATCCACCACATACATCATAGATCAAGTTTGTCAAGTTAGATATGCATGTGGGAATCTATAAGAAAGAATTATCAAGCAATTACTAATATGACATTAAAGCATACAAGAGGAAACAAAATGATGAGGAGAAGTTGGTATACAAAATATGACTTCAATCTGTGGATAAAGGCAGCCATGATTAGCATCAAAGTCATTACTTTTGTCACTTTCAAAGCCCTTCCCCTGGCCTATTAGTCTAATACATCAAGCATCATTCTACTTAAACGATAATAAATGAAAACTTTCTTTATACTAATGTTACATAAATAAAAATATAATTACTTATGAGAGCTCGAGACCAAATAACTTTTCAATCCTAAAACGTCTCTTCTTTCCATGACACACCTTCCCTAGCCCTTGAACCTTGGAAATGTTAAGCAATGACCTCTATTCTAAAAAATAAGTACTAAATCCTGGATCAGCAAATCATTGGCATCCTTCTCTCTTACAGCAGTCCAATCTAGTGTCTCAATCTGCACTTATGAGCAACTTAAATAATTATCCTAACACTCATGTGCCTCTTTAATTCTTGCTTCTAGTGTCAATGGAGGGAGTACTAAACTATTTCTGATTATAATCAAAATATTTAAAAACTGTCATAATATAAAAATTATACAAATTTAGAAATATTGTGTAAAAATGATATCACAAGTGGATGTTTCAGTTTTCCAAGTTCTTAAAAAAAAAAAAAGAGTTCCCTTAGAGGCAATGTGTTCGCTTATTGGTTCCTGAACCGCATTCCCAATCGAAGTCCGTACCTGGTAACATTGTCCAAATTCCCTGAAATTCCTCATAACAAACTCGATCATCTTTAGCATCACAAACACGCAAAAGATCCCAAGCAGATTTGTAATCCGATGGTATGTGAAGTGCGCACAGCCCTCAATCAAGTTCTCATTGAATTTATGTTTTACCACTCAGATCAGTCCTCAGTAAAGCTTTAACGCATAATTAACACCCATTGAACAATATTTCCAACCAAAAAAGGATTTTGATTTTTAATTGCCACCTAGTTTTGTGGTTTTGCTTGTGTAGCGTCGTGAACTTACACAGAGATGAGAAATTCGGAAAATTACAAATTGAAAAAAGTACCGTAAAATTAAAGGTGGAACTAGGGAATTTTGACCATTATTGTTTGGACTCAAACATTAAATTCTGTAATATTTCATAAAAGCTACTTAAATTCTACCTCTAATCATTACTAACCCAATACCTTGCTACACTCAAACATTTTCAATTAGCGTTAACCTAAATAAAACTGTCACCTAAAAAACTAGTGCCATACATGACCTGTCCAGCGATTATGAACCAAATACATTGCTAGCAGTTAGGGGAAAAAAATACCTCCAATTCAAGGTGCCCATTTCACTGAATTCTATAGAACAATAAGACATTTTAAAGCAACATGTGAAAACAAAAAGATCATACCATAAGATCTCCTTTTACTCCAGCTTCTTCAACTGCTTCTCTTGCAGCTGCCTCCTCAACAGTTTCATCATTTTCCCATCCCCCCTATGAAAAAAGCAACAAAAGGTGAGGGAGAGTTTTAAAATAATGATAAAATATGCGATTCAAGGCATGACATGCACACATACGTACCCAAAATCTGCAAGCCAAACTTAAAAGCAGATGTAAGAAAGGAAGCTGTAAGAGTAATTTAAATACCCCTAAAAGGATTTTAAAAAATTGAGTGAGGAAAACTTTTATACAGGTATCATTATTCTAGTGTTTTGTGTGATTCATGTCCTAGTAGGATTACAAAAGATAGTTTAACACGATGAAATTAAAAGGGATTTCTTCTCTTACATGAATAAATGCGGAGAATCAACATGAGATAAGATAAATGAAATTAAAAGGGTTTTCCATCTCTTCCTCGAATAAAGTAGGGTTCACATGAAAACTTTACACTGGATAATTTCACTGACGAAATAGCCTATTGACATATAAATTCCTCGTTGAGATGACCCGTGGAAAATGTAACCTTTTTATCCAGGTCAAACATGTAATTTTGTGCTTCTACTACAGAATTCTACGATTCTAGTATAATAGCTAAGAAAGTTCAATCAAAACTAGATCATAAATGCTCCATATTTAATATACAGCATGTCCAATGTAAAATTAAGTAGGTTTCTTAAAAAAAAAAAAAAAAATCACTTAGATTTACAATAATCCAACAAACTGATTAATTCCAGTCCTATCACCTTTCTAAAGCTCTACTTGATCTTGGAGGGAGGCCCACAAGAGCCAATGGTGATAAAAAGCACATAAAAGAAATCAAGGTGATCATCTATCATCACATCATGTGTCGGAATGAGTGAATCAGTAGAGAAAGCTGGGAAGGTGAAGATTAATATGATTCAAGTAAATTGACAACAATAAAATTGCCTAAGAAAAGAGTGGTTAAAAAAGGTGTACAAGATGAATTATTTACAAGGGAGATAACAATGAAAGAACTGTGATTCACTACCAATGAAGTACTCTAGATATAATCACATAATATGATTAAAAAAACAAAAAAAAAAAAAAAAACCTCACATAAGATAAATATGGTATGTGGTTAAAAGAGCATATGAATAAAAAAAATGAAGTACAATCTTTCAACATACTTTCAAAAGTTCGAGATTATAAACTTTTTTTTTTTTTTAAAATCAAAACTGTTCTGCATATAGTGATGAATAAAGAAAGTTCATGGTTCACTCAATTTCATGAACATAACATATTATAAACTCCTTGTAGAAACTAAAGTTCTCATTATCAAACACACATGAAGAGAAGATAATATTCCACCCTTATAGCCTTATTTCTAAAACAATAATTGTTTTGGGACCAAAAGAGCAACTACACCAATAAACTTCTCGAGATGCCCAGATAATTTGCTCTCTCTCTTTACATGTCTACAAGTCTATATCTCTGTTGATATTTCTTCTTTAAAGGACAAAATCAATCAACATTTTCCCATATAATTAATATATTAATATTTCAAATATTATGATCCCTTTGTTATTAGTAGTATATGTAGCTTGAACTTTACGCTTCCCAACACAAAACTTTGACCATTAATATATTTAATATTGTGTAATAATTGCTCCCTCCTCAAAATACTTGCCCCAATTTTTATTTAGAAATGTCTCAGATTAGTCACTTTACCTCACTTAGGACAACGTTTTCTCTACATTCTTACACTCATTTATTCAGTTTTCCTTACCGCATTTTCACAATTCTTAACATTTATCCCATTCTATCATGTAGTAAATATATTGAAATATTGGGAGCATAAAAAGTTGATACTTAATACTCTTCTATTTGCAACTGATATAAAAGAAAGGTCCCATAACCAAAAGCCAAATAAAGCAATGTTGTAGCAAGTATTATGCAACTTGCCAAAAAGAAATATGTGCAATTAAAAGAGAACAATTAAAAGAGAACAAAAGATGTACTTTGAAAGTATATATCAAGACAAATCTTATAAGATCCTTTATGAATTTATTTATTTTTTTTTATTTTTTTTTTAGAACAAGGTAATCAAAGGGGATTTATGTAAATATTGAGATCTTAGTCACCTATAAAACCAATTAATTCTAACACCAAAAAAAAAAACAAAAAAAAAGTAATTTTGGTAATTTGGTCGACAAAAACAATATAGTAGTTTCATTTTAGTCTATGAAATAAGCATCCAACCCAATCGCTTCAAAATTTCTTCCAACTAGTGGTGTCCCTATCAAATCATAAACGAGATAAACATGTTTCTCCCCTGCTTAATAATGAATAGTGAATAATATGGAATTAGTTTTAAGACTTAAAAAATTTGTTTTGGGGGGGGGGGGTGAGGAAGTGCTAATTTTCATGGAACAGATAATAAAGTAAGAAAAATTGCAATTAAGTACAAATCATAAAACCAACACTAAATCTCAATATAAGACCTTCAATGGAGAAGGGAATAGAAAGAAGTCAGATTGTTATTTCCAGCCTCACAAGGGTCATAAAAAGGAGTAGATAATATCTCTAATTTGGATTTTTTATTCAACACACCTAATTTGGATATTAAAAGGAAAAAATGGCACCTATTAAAGGAATAAAATAGAAAGATAATAGCATTTTGAAATCTAAATAGAATACCAATCAAATGAATATTTAATATCTTTAATTGATTGATGCCTTTTCATCCTACCGGATAAAAAAAATCATCATAATATTCTCCTTAGTTTGAAGTTTCCAAAACAAGATACCTAAACCAGAAACACAATCTTTGGGCGAGAGCTTCATCAAAGATTACACAACATTTTAGTGGGTAGCATCATCAATTGATGGTCAACATAGAGGCTGCTTTTATGAAAACATAAGAAGAAGATTCAATTTAATAGGATTATTTGCATGTAAGTGACTACTGACCTCCCAAGTAAACTATATGGTCATGATTCATGGTTAAATAAAAAAATGCCAAGTGCCAATGTATAAAAAATTATTTCATGAAGAATGTATAAAATATTCTCCATACCTTAGGAAAGAGAAGACCTGGACCACTCTGTGAGTTGATCATAAGTACCTCGATATTACTCTCTGAATCGTCATTACTATTGTCCTCGCCATTTCTATATCTGAATGGTATACACCTGCCATGAGATATTTTGCTAAATCAGATCCAATGGGTTAACAATACCTTTTGACTCCAATGAGACATCACATATACATCAATATATCATTAAGAAAAGGAAACAAGTAATATGCAACTAGAAGCAAACATAACAGATTGTAAAAGTGAATAGCTATCACAAATTGTTTATCAAACATTCACTAGTTTGCTCAGCACTTATCATAAATTAATAAACCCAATATTCAAACAATAAATACCCTTAGACCATTGAATCTATATGTTAGACTAAATAGTCCTTGCCAAGAGTTTACATCCTTGTTGGGGCATTGTTAATGATTGCTTAGAAAGCTCAACCTGCTTCCTGCCCGCTAAACGTACTCTGACTTAAATTTAGGCAGCGGCATAATAAAGCTAACAGGTGATTTGTAAAATAGACACCTTAGGAATCTCATGATATTGCTTTCACTCGGGTCTTAAAAGCTTAAATAAACTAACCCTAGAGGACTTAGCAAGCATGTAAGCATGGCATTACTGGTTATAAAGGCACAATTTAGCTGAGGAAAGCTAAACAGACTTGAAGATAATGTACACTTATACATATTGTAGAATTTGTAGTATGACCAATAACAGATAGTGGTGTAACAATCGTGTTTAACTCTCCACTTTAGTCATTTAGTTTAACTGCGTGGTCCAAAAGGTAGTAATTAGCAGTTACTAGACCTGGCAAATGGGTCATTCCAGTCGGGTATTGGTCGGGTCAAGTTCGGGTCGGGTTGGGTCATTTCGGGTTTCGGGTTGATTTCGGGTCGGTTGATAATCGAGTCGGGGCGGTATCGGGTCAACAGTTCTGGTCGAGTCAATTTGGGTCGGGTCAATTTTCGGGAGCAAATTTTGAGTCAACTTCGGGTCGGGTCATATTCGGGTCGATGCATTGGGTTAGATTCAACTCTGTATATATATATTTATTTATTTTTTGACGAGAAACTCACTATATTTATTAAGGCTACTTTTTTCATGGAATATACTCATCATAGTAATTGTTAGAATTTTATTAACCTTGTTTTTTTTTTTTTTTTGTTTAGATTGAGAATCAATTTCAGGATCTCCCGAAACAAAGAGAGATGCTCTAACTAATTGAACTCTGTTATTGACCTTAGTTTTAAACTTTTAATACTCTTATTATCATTGTCACTGTTCACTGTTGTAATAATTTCTTTGTATTATTCTTATAATAATCTATAATATAATCTATGTCTTTTAAGTGCTCCATTAATTTTAACGGGACATAGGCATGCCGTGTAGGAAATTGATCAATAATAGACTTCCTATTATAATTATCAGTAATTTACATTATAGAATTTTACCAATTGAATATTTTTAAATATTTATTGTGGTGGCGATTTCAACAAGTACACACAATGACACAAGAGTGACAAGACTATATATTTTTTTTTCTAATAAAGACTTAAAGAGTAGTAGCGTGGATGGACGCCAAGTCGCCAAGTAGACTTACTCGCACTGTGAACTTTTCTTAACCGATTCGATCAGATATATGTTATGACATGCTTCGTTTGAAAAAAAAAACCTAATTACGAATTTACACTCCCTAAAAAAAAAACCTACACCCTAAATCTTCCTCAACTATTTTCACTCTCTCTTTTGTCTTCACTCTTCTGACTTCTATAATCTTATGCTACTCATCTTATCTCAAGCGCTCCGGCAAGGCAAGGTTTCCCTCTTTCTATCTTCCTCTTCTTTATTGCGGTTTTTTGTTTCAAATTTTATGATTTTCAATTCAAGTTTTGTGATTGATTGATGTTAATTTGATACTTTGAGATTAGGTTTTGATTTTGCAATTTTTTTCACTAATAGGAAGCCAATTCACGAGCTTCCTGTACTTGAGGTGCGCTTAATTTGATTTGCATGTGGTTCTCCATTCCCTCAGTTGAGAGCTTTCTCTCCTCCATTGAAGCCAACCTTTGAGGTAAAGATTTTCTTTTTAGATTATCGAATATCAATCAATGTCTCAATTTAGAGCTTAATTCAGATTATCAGATTTAAGCTTTTTGAAAAGATGGCCAATTTAGGGTTCTTGAGTATAATATTTAGGCCATTTTTCTTGAATAAGAGACTGTTAAGGTTTTTTCGTTTCACAGTTCTGAGCTCAAAAACTTTGTATATGTATGACTAGATAAAGTAGCTTGAATTGGGATTGTGAAAGCTTCCTTTCTTGCATCGTATGACTAAACTGCTTCTCAACTAGTCATAATTGTTAAGCTCTGAACTACTTACGTGGTTCTCAGTTCTCACTGCATTGTCTGTTGAAATATGAACCTATTTCAGTGTTAGAATTTCATATCCTAATGATTGGGAATAAATTCTGCCATATTTTCATCATGATCAGAAGTTATTCCAAACTCTTTTAGGTTTCTCTATGACCATCAAGACCCCTTTGTTTTTGCTGTTCCCCTTTTTTTTCATGAAATAATTGATTACATCTTCATCTTTAAAAACAGAAGGTTGCTTTTCCCACTGCACACCTTATCTTAATCTGACAATAACTAATGATATTATTCTGGCTTTTTTTGCAGCAATGGATGATCATATTATTTACGACGAGCCTATTATTTCACCAGAGGGAACAGAGGATGAGTGTACACCAGAGGAAGAAGCCAATGTTCGTACACAAGAGGAAGAAGCCAATGTTCGTACACAAGAGGAAGAAGCCGGTGATCCTGAACTTACAATTGAAAACAACAATATTAGCACTATGGAATCTGGATTTCAAGCTGTAGAAAAGAAACGGAGTCTAGTTTGGCGGGAATTCTTCACGTTTGACAAGACAGAATCTAGTGATGGGAAACAAAGGTCAATTTGCAAACATTGCCAAAAAGCATCCTTCATAACCGACCCCCATTATGGAACCCAAAATATGCAAAGACATCTACAAAAATGCACTGCATATGAGTAATATTTGAAAAACCAAGGAGGTAACGGTTCAAACAAAAGTAAAATCTTTAACCAAATTGTTTAAAAATGCATAAAACTTTGAAGGCTCAGTTAAAGGAAACACTTAGTAAAGTCTCTAGTCGTATCTCATTAACATGTGATATGTGGACCTCTTGTCAAACCGAGGGATATTTTGTGTCTGACACCTCACTATGTGGATGATAATTGGAAATTAATTTATTTATTTTTTTTGAAAAGAATTGGAAATTAATTAGTACAGTGCTTAACTTTAGTCATATTGATTCACCACACCCTGGAAAGACCATGTATGCTACTGTGTTGTCCATGCTTTAAGATTGGGGAATTGATGATAAGATTTTTTTACTTCACATTAGACAATGCCTCTAGTAATGATAGAATGCAAGATTATTTGAAGGAAACTCTACTTGCACGAAATGCTATGTTCCAGGGCATATAGCTTATAAAGATGGACTATTAAATCCCAAACCGCAAGCGAAAATTCGATTATTTTGCGGTAATTGTTCTTCTCTTATTTTATTTTGACATCTGTGCATGTCTTTTAGCCGTTCTCGGGAACTTGAAACAATTTAAGCATAATTTGCCTCCTTTTAAACATCAGCTTTTGACAAACCCTTCAAATCCTTATTAGGATTAAAGCCTATCATAATTACTTATGCTTGGATCTTTTAGCATGTTGGCTAGTAAATGGAGAGAGTTATTTTGTATTTGTATGCCTATATTAAAGCTTTTGTAGAAAAGATCTATTGACCTGGAAACTTGGGCAAGTTGATGCGTCTGCTCTTTTTTATTTTATTAGAATTAGAAGTTATATACTAGCTTGTTGTGAAGAGGTATTCTGAGCTTTTTGACGTTGTAGCTGTGATTAATTAAAGATACTTGAAAAGTACTCCGTACTTTTTTTTAATTGCCAAGCCTTTATGTTTTGTACTCTGTTGTTACGAGCTGAACTCTTTTTCTTGGAACTTCATTAGAAAATTACTTTATTTCTTCTCGATTCCATGTGATGGGAGATTGTCTTCCTAATTGCTTTTGCCTGTTTTTCCTATTTGTTATAGATCTTGTCACTCATCCAATTACATGATGTTCTACTCTACTTCAACACTTTTTCTTCTCTCTAGTGTTTTTTTGGGAAAGTCAAAATGTTGGACCCTTGTGACTTTCTCATATTAAAGTTGAAGAAAAACTAAGAAGCACTTCTATAAAATCACACACCACACCACCTGCAGGTCATTATGTGAAATTACTAGTTATAATACCTGGCTATTTGGCAAATAACTTATATTTGCCTTCTGTTTTTCTTGTGTTTACTTTATTTTTTCTGTCAATTATAATCCTTTTGATTATCCTTCATTCTTAATCTATTGATTCGACTGTTTTTTACATATTTGCCTTCTGTTTTTCTTGTGTTTACTTAATTTTTTCTATCAATTACTGGTTTTTTTATGAATATAAGTAGTTCTTATTAAGATTATAAGTTAAGTTTATGTTATAAGTTAAGTAGTTGTTATTAAGATTACAAGTTAAGTTTATGTTGTTTTGTTTGGTGATGTGTTTTATGGTTTGTCGTTGACTTGTTGTGTTGAATTCAGGAATATGACCATAAAGAGGCCTCATCTTCTTTTGATGAGAGGTCAATATTGGATGTTTACCTTGAGGACCCTAAACTAGATCGGAAAGCGGAGCTTGACATATTAGCTTTTTGGAAAGAAAATGAGCATCGATATAAAGGCCTTTTTCATTTGGCTAGAGATATTTTGGCCGTGCCCTTGACAACCGTCGCTTCCGAATCAACTTTCAGCATTGGGAGTCGAGTATTGAATACATGGAAAAGTTCATCAATTCCTAAAAATGTGGAGGCTTTAATAACAACTCGTAGTTGGATGTACTCTTTTGAAAGTAAGTATTTTTTTATGTTATTTTAAAATATGTATATTCATATTCCTGCATTCTTGTTTAGAGCTATACATTCTTGTTTCTTTATTTTATCATTTATAGTGTATATGCTTATATTATTGTTTTTATATTTATGTAGCAAATGAGGATGATGGATTTTTTGGTTCTTATGTGGATTGGGCGGCGGCTCCAAGTGTTAATTGTCAACAATTTTAAGAGTAGAATATTGGAATATAATTATTTAGAATATTTTGTAATTTCATTTGGTATTGAACATTATGTACGCATGATTATTGTACTATTTTTTTTCTAGACTTTGTGAGAATTGTGACATTTATTTCAAGCTTTAGTAAATTTTTTTCTCATCTTATGGACAAACTCCGTAGAATAATCGTTAAATTTCAATCTTTTTACGAATTATTAATAACTTATAAAGAGAAAAGGCCGAAGAAATCGAGAAAAGTAATGCTCAAAATATAAAAATTACTCACACTGTTACACATTACAAATTAAAAAAAAAAAAAATTGTGTGATTGCGGCTATTTTCTATTTCGGCTTCCTCAGGTCAAATCGTTAGCTTAAATAGATTTTGGTCATTTCAGGTATAAGGTAATCTTAGTTCACACTTTGGGTTTCGAGTCTATTTGGGTCAATTAATTCAAGTTAAAGGTCCGGTCACTTTGGGTATCGGGTCAACTTCGGGTCGTGTCAAGTTCAGGTCTCGGGTCACTTTGGGTCACGGGTCAACTTCGGGTCGGGTCGGGTTGATTTCGGGTCACTGTTTTCGGGTCGATTTCGGGTCATGGGTCGGGTCATCGAGATTGCCGGTAGTTACCGGCTTACCACTCTAGAGCTAGATCATCAAAAGGGAAATTATAAAAGACAAAGCACCCCCCACAAGTCGAGAACTTATTATATTAAACACTTCAAAAGATCTTACAATTACATTTTTGTATTTGTTGGAAAAAAAAGCCCCATCTAAATGACCCCTCAGCATTATAGTATAATACTCTATAAATGCTATATGTGATCAACCTTTGGAAACCAAAGGTGCTTCATCAAGAGTTGGCCAAAATGAATTTAATTGCTCACTTAAATAATAAGCTTATAAGAAAAGAGCTAAAATGATTCATAATCACCAACTCAAAGCTAGAATTTAATTAGATTCAGTTCCAGGATCAACATATATCAAAGTAGTCATTAATGAACTGAACTGAACTAAACTGACTGATTGGAGCTGAGCTGAAATGAATTGTTTATGAGAGAAGGAAATTAGGAACTGAACTGATTGGAGCTGAGCTGAAATTAAGCTGAACTAAACAGGTCATAATTGAATATTCTAGGTGACTATTCAAGTTAGCTCATAATTGAATACTAGGCCAGTTATCCTAACAAGATTATGAATTCTTGATACATTCATTTTGGACCAATAATATCCAATGTCTTTTAACACTGATATCAGAATCCAAATAGCATAGCAAAGGCCTAAGCTTACTCTCACTAAACTTCTAGTATAAGATTCGCCTATGCAAAATTTTATTGGACAAGAAAAATGTACTCTTATTAATTACACTCTCTATGTAAAAAATAATAATAAAAAACTAGAAGAATCGTAGACAGTAGGAATTAGTGCACTCCTCATTCTAAACTGCTAAAGATGGGGCTTGTGACAAAGTGAGTTTTCCTTCCGAATTCTTATGTGTGCATCCCATGTGTTGAGCAATATATCCACTCCCCTCCCTCCACCCCCCCCACCCCGCGCGCGCGCGGGCACTTTGAGCTAAAGCATGCATGATATTTACTCATGGGTCCAACAATACAACAACCTCGAAAAGAAGATTTTGCCCAACTATTACTATTACTCCTTTAATTAGCCTTTTGAAGAATGTTGATTGTTGAATGCCTATCTAATACTACATAACTTCTATTCCTCAAGAACATTTTCTCTAATACTTTTTTTTTTGCCAACATGTTCTCCATCAACCTCTCTACCAATTTTGAACTTCAACTAATAAAGGACAAGTTTTATACCTCCAAACTACCATAAATTTAATTGGACTTGTTTTAGTTGCAATCACAACAGCAACAATCTTTATTCCAAGAGCATGTACTCAAACCTCTCAAATACACAACCACACCTAATCCTTATCCTACAACTTAAAGTAACACCGACTCAATAGCTACATAAAGAAAATGAACAACAGATTTCAAGTCAATTATGTTGTCTAAAATCAATTCCTTTCACCAATCACAATGTTGAACAAGAAAATATAATACAGGCAGCCTAAACACAGAAACCAAAAGCATAACCCAAATCACTTGTATGCTCAATTGTCAAAAAAGACTAAGGTTTCTCAGCTAAGTAGCTAACCAATGAGATAACCAAGAATTGTCAACCAAATAATATTTTACAATAAAAAAATTCAAAATATTCATATAGACCTTTTCAAATGAGAATAAGGTTTCTCAGTTTGCTAATAAATCAAACATGAAGGTGACAGCCAAAAATTAATAATCACAATGAAAACATCTCGGAAATCGATCAAACTGTTAAAGAGCAAAAATATAAATACCCACATTGGCACAATTTAGACCAAAAATGTAACAATCAACACAAAAACCCCAACAAAAGAAACTATCACTGCTCCATATTGACCTAAAATACAATGACAACTACATTCGGAAAACGACAATGGCAAAAACAAAATTCCCATTATATTTAATAAGAATAACACAACACATCAAATCAACCAAAAAAAAAACACACTTCATATCACAGGACAAAATATACATTAAGTCATATCATTAAACATAGAAAATAACAAAAAAAAAAAAACTAAAATTAAAGTGTAAAGATGGAAAAAGAGAAAGATAGAGAATACCCAGCAACAAGGCGACAGCCATCATTATATCTTTGTTGAAGACGACCCGTGCGGGCCACCAAATCAGACATGCTCAAAAAATAAAAAACTTCGTATATAAAATCAAAATTCAAAGAATTGGGTTTTCTTATGCATTCAAAAGGGTACACCCAGAAATCAAAGAAACATCAAAATTGTCATTTGATTTGTTTCTGAACAAAAAATCTGCAGAATTTTCTTGGTTTTTTTAGTGGGTTTTGGGTAATATGGGTAATCAGCAAACATTGGCTCAAAATTCTCAATTTTTATGATTTATAAAAGAGTAAGAATTGAAATTGATGTGGGTCAAAAGAAGTATGAGCAGAAAATAATTGACGGAAGAGAGAGAGAGAAAGAGAGGAGGAGGAGAAGAAGGCGGTGACAGCGGATCGGAGGGAAGAAACTGAGCGATGACCGGGGGAGATGGTGGGTCAAACTCACGTGGGTTGGATCAGAAAATGGGTAATTGGGTCTACAAATGTGGGCCATTCTTTGTTACTTTTATACCAATGAAAATGACTTTGTTACATGTGGGCCTCTAGTCTACCCTAGTTTTGTGCAAAAGTGGATTTGGAATTTGGATGGATGGTTCTAACTCTTTTTTTTTTTTTTTAAGTTTTTTTTTTTTTTTAAGTTTTTTTTTTTTTTTGGGGGGGGGGGGCGAATTGGTGAGTGTACTTGAGTCATGTTCTTTTGAGCCACCGTGGTTAGATTTGGTAACGAGTTGTTCAGGTTTGGCCAATTCAGGTTGGGTTTCTTAATATTCAAGTCGGAATCGAGTTGAGTTAATTCGGGTCTCAAGCCAGTTTCAGGTCAATGGTTATTCGGGTCGGGTATCAGGTCAACACGTTGGGTCGGATTAGTTTTCGGGTCCAATAGTCGGGTCAAGTTGGTTTAGGTTGAGTTCAAGTTGGGTCAATTCGGGCCGGGTCCATCTTCGTCTATGTCATGTGGAAACTTGACCAATAATATACTATCTATTATGATTACGGAGTATCAAGAAGTACAAAATATAACAATTAAATATTAATAAAATATTTATTAGACAATTCCAACAATACTATACACAAAAGATTGTATTGTTTCATTTGTATAATCACTATTACTGATTAATTGGTCAAAAATTCAAATTAGTTTAAGTGAGTAGTGGTGTTTTGAAAATAAAAAAGTGAATAGTGGAAAAAATTTCAATGTACTTAAAAAAAAGAGTAATAATAACAATAACAATAATAGTAACAAGTGTTTTTAATCAAGTGAAACTCTATGAATTACGAGTACTAAATTACACGCACATTCCAACAATACTATACACACAGGATTTTATTATTTAGGTTATTTTCGATAAGTGTTTATCCGAGTAAATTAATTAAGCCCTAAATCAGTTAGGTAAGTATCAGTTAATTTTGGGCGGGGTCATTTTAGGTATAGTTCGGGTCACTTCGGGTTTCGGGTTTGTTTGGGTCAATCAATTTGGGTTAAGATTAGGTCGGGTCACTTCGAGTTTCGGGTCATTTCGGCTCGGGTCGCTTTGTGTATCGAGTCAACTTCGGGTTGTCACAAGTCGGGTATCAGGTCAACTTCGGGTCGAGTCAATTCAAGTATCAAGTCGAGTCAATTAGGGTATCAGGTCAACTTCGGTCGGGTATTTTTACTTCTAATATTTTACATATACAAAATTAATCATAACTTTTAATAAATATCCTATAATTTGGTTATATACTTCCATCATAGATTTCGTATTAAAAAATTCTTTAAAATAAGATCCATTTATAATTTAATTTTTTTTTGAAAAATGATATATAATTAGTAAAAATAAGTTTAATCAGTTTAAATAATTTTAGTTTGGTAAAAATATTATCATTTTAGTAAAAATAATTTGAGTTTAATAAAAATAATTTCAAGTCAATAATAACATAGATATCTATTTACAAACAAAACTAAAAAAAAACACCATTATATAAATAAGCAATATGATATCATATGTCTAAATATTCTGCATTATCAAAAGAAATTATTTGACCATATTTAACATTTAAGCCAAAAAGTTTATCCTAAAATTTATCAACAATCTGGACATCGTCCGACACAAAAAACTGTGCATCATACAGGCTTTCATCTAGTAGTAATAATAATAACTACTACTCACTACACGAAACCAACAAATTGGCAACGGTTCAAACCCCCCCAAAGGCAACGGTTTTGAACCGTTGAGTATTTAAGGGTTGCCAAATCCCAAAAAAATTGGCAACGGTTCAAAACCGTTGCCAACTCAAGCAATTGGCAACGGTTAACCGTTGCCATTGACCATGCCGCATTTTTTTTTGTTTTTAAAAGTAATTGGCAACGGTTAACCGTTGCCAATTGCTTGAGTTGGCAACGGTTAACCGTTGCCAAAGCCAATGGCGCGCTTTTTTTTATTTTATTTTAAAACATTGGCAATGGTTAACCGTTGCCAATGACCTGTATTGTACTTTTTTTTTTGCTGCACTAATATTGACCTGTTTTTTGTTTTTTTTTTTTTTGGCTTCAGTAATATTGACCTGTTTTTTTTTTTGGCTGCAATATTATTATTATTAATAATAATTATTATTATTATTATTATACTAATAATAATAATTATTAATATTATAATATTAATAATAATAATAATAATAATAATAATAATAATAATTATATATGATAATAGTAACAATAATTAGTAACATTAATAACAAAACATAAATAATTAATAATAACAATCGCAAGAGATGACATAATAAATTAGAAAAATGTTTCATGTATAGTACATAATTATACATCTAAGGCTAGGATTGATGAAGAGATGATATAGTACAAAAATGTATGACGATATTTACAAATTAAATGTGATGTAGGTCGCCAACATCTCCCGAATTACATGGAGTTCCTCGCTCGTGTATGGAAGTCCCGTTTGCCCCTTGCAAAACTTAGAATACACAAAACGTGAGTTAGTAGAAGTGAAATAATAACAATTGGGGTTAGTTATAGGTGACTAATGCTTGAGATTACAAGAAAAGAGCAAGTAAGAGGTTTTGGGACGCAATTTCAACCAAAATGGCTCAAGTAAGGCCATTTTGGCTACTAGGATGCCTATTTTCTATATTTCCTGTCTATTGAACTCATAACTAGTAAAAACATGTCATTATCACTTATTTATAGGTGACTAATGCTTGAGATTACAAGAAAAGAGCAAGTAAGAGGTTTTGGGACGCAATTTCAACCAAAATGGCTCAAGTAAGGCCATTTTGGCTACCAGGATGCCTATTTTCTATATTTCCTGTCTATTGAACTCATAACTAGTTAAAACATGTCATTATCACTTAGTTATAGGTGACTGATGCTTGAGATTACAAGAAAAGAGCAAGTAAGAGGTTTTGGGACGCAATTTCAACCAAAATGGCTCAAGTAAGGCCATTTTGGCTACTAGGATGCCTATTTTCTATATTTCCTGTCTATTAAACTCATAACTAGTTAAAACATGTCATTATCACTTAGTTATAGGTGACTAATGCTTGAGATTACAACAAAAGAGCAAGTAAGAGGTTTTGGGACGCAATTTCAACCAAAATGGCTCAAGTAAGGCCATTTTGGCTACTAGGATGCCTATTTTCTATATTTCTTGTCTATTGAACTCATAACTAGTTAAAACATGTCATTATCACTTAGTTAAATGTGACTAATGCTTGATATTACAACAAAAGAGCAAGTAAGAGGTTTTGGGACGCAATTTCAACCAAAATGGCTCAAGTAAGGCCATTTTGGCTACTAGGATGCCTATTTTCTACAATTCATGTCTATTGAACTCATAACTAGTTAAAACATGTCATTATCACTTAGTTAAATGTGACTAATGCTTGAGATTACAACAAAAGAGCAAGTAAGAGGTTTTGGGACGCAATTTCAACCTAAATGGCTCAAGTAAGGCCATTTTGGCTACTAGGATGCCTATTTTCTACAATTCATGTCTATTGAACTCATAACTAGTTAAAAAATGTCATTATCACTTAGTTAAATGTGACTAATGCTTGAGATTACAACAAAAGAGCAAGTAAGAGGTTTTGGGATGCAATTTCAACCAAAATGGCTCAAGTAAGGCCATTTTGGCTACTAGGATGCCTATTTTCTACAATTCATGTCTATTGAACTCATAACTAGTTAAAACATGTCATTATCACTTAGTTAAATGTGACTAATGCTTGAGATTACAAAAAAAGAGCAAGTAAGAGGTTTTGGGACGCAATTTCAACCAAAATGGCATACCTCTTCAAGCTGACGTGTGTCTGTACAATGACTCATCACTATGTCATACATGAATCTCATCACGTATAGGCCACAGTCAACTCCGTTTTCCTGTTGTGCGCACTAGCATGAGGAACAAAGCACATGAATCAAAATGCATAGCAAATAAGCAACATCTTAAGCATTGTACAGTAAGAAAATCACAACATCATGGGTGAATTACCTTGGGTGCTTTCCATGTAGGACCTCGAGGAGATCGAGGATTTATCTTCTTCATGGTACTACAAAAAATCAAAGTAATAAGTTCAAATTTGACGTTTATAATCAATACATATGAGTTCAGATATGACAATGAATAACAAGAAGTGAAACAAACTAGATGCTTACTTTTGCAGTATGGACCTCACGAGGCGCTTTCTTACTTGAGGTAACCGAGCAGAATCAAAGTAGAAGATTGTGTTACTGGAAACACAAATCACAAGTAGGGTCCAATAATAACTACACACGAGACAAACAAATCAATAGTTAGCCTGTTACAACAAATAAACTGGGAAAACAAATGAACTTGACTAGCATAATCAGACGTACTCCTCATAGTATGGGACGAATATAAACTTGTCTCCTGCACTCACTGATTTCCTAATACCCCGTTCAGCATAGTACAACACGTCAGCGGAGTTGCCTAAGATTCTAGCAGTGGACATCTGCTCAGGGCACAACCACCCAACTTGACAAGGAGATTCAAGCTCCCATATTTGCTCCTGGAGTGCTCTGCATGCATGATAACACAATGTTAATCGAAAACCAAACGACAAACACCACTAAACTGAATAACTTAAATTGAGTACCAGTTGAATTACCTCATGGATATTTGAATGAGGGAAATGTTAAGCATTGCACCACTTAGAAATTCCTTCACATCTTCTTTGAATAGCCATGCCGTTGCATCATCATTGTAGTGGAACATTTCCTTAGGAAGTTGGATTTGGATGGGGCTGTCATTAGGCAACACGCAAACACGGTTGTGCAAATAAGCTAACTCCTGAGATAGCGATTGAAGCACCGTGTCTTCAACTAATGGAGTAGCTTGCGTAGCTGAACCTCGTGAAGGGCTCTTCATCGACGCCTTTCCACTCACTGAGCCATGTTCACTTCTGTTCTTTGGCCCCTCCACCCTCTTCTTTGGCGTTTGGCTTTTCCTCGATGGCTAATAAGTATGATCACACAAATGGTTAGAAAAGATTTCCATCCAACTCTTGGGAATTAAGGATTAAAGCGTGAAATCTAAATCTTAATTACCTGGTTCATCAACCGTATCCAAGCAGATGGCCATTGCACAAAACTACCTTTTGCTGCCCAGAGTGTAGTGAACTCATCCTCCTCCACGGGCACAGGTACTAAGAGGTCCTCGGACCCGGGAACCACAGAATGGATCCCGACAGAATAATGCTCAGGCAGAAGAGGTCGGCCATGGACCGTACCTTGTTCGGCCGGTTGTGCACTACCATAGGCAACAACATGCAAAGGTCCATCATATGATTCGCCCGGGTGAAGAAGTTCACAACGGGTCTCTTCCTGCACCAATTACGAAGATACTTCATTTACATATACATAACTAAGTATCTTAGGTTTAATATAGGAGTTAAATCAAGCATTGAGCTAAAATCACGAAAAATGGGCAAGTTAGAACTCATTTAGGGCATTTCGAGCCGTAAATACTGTAAATGAACCTAAAACTTGTGGAATTGCTTTTTTTAGGTCGTTTCAAGCCATAAATATTCATAACTAAGTATCTTAGGTGTAATATA